TTTGCCCAAAAAAGGTTGGGAAACACTGTCCTAGTACATTGTCCCAGGCAAGGAATGTGCTGTCTGGATTGTCATTGCTTTCAGTGGCAACAAAAGTACAGTATGTTTAAAGTTAAGAAATTGTGTGGAGAGGTGTGGTGTGCTGCCAACATCACTTCTCACAGTAAGTCCCTTTCTCCTGAAAATAGTTATTTTATGCCCAATGGAGAAAAATAGCCAAAACAGTCCCAACTTTCACAGCTGTGAATGGGCATTCAAAATATTCACCTCAGCCTAATTGGGCTGACTTACAAATATTAATTTGAACTAGCCATATCTTGGATCACAACCATCTGCTCTTCCTTAACATCACTTAATTTTGAATGTTTTACACTACTAGACACATAGTGCCAAATCACTAGGTCATTTCCCCCATTCTTATAATGGCTAAAAGTAAGACTGCTTCATCTCATAAAATTTCCAGGGTCATTTTCACATGCATTTCAAGATACCTTTATATTTTTTCTGTTCATTGCTTAGCAGACTGACCTGGACTATGTACCAAAAGGCCAGGCATGTGACCACAGATGTTTGTATCTTGACATACATCTAGCAGTCACCCATAATGTAGAATAAGATCTTATGGCTCCCTTGCTTGATTTATCAGTTGATGCACAGGAGAACAAAATGAAGGTAGATGCGAAATTTAAATGTGTTCTAAAAGTTTCGCTTGTGAATCTGCAAGGTTTCTACAAGGAAGTAAAGTGTGCGTCAATACAGATACAATGGAAATAGATAATGTATCTTGGAACAATATTTGAGATAGGGAATCATTATTGTCCCAACTTCCTTCTCATATGTGAGTTCCTAAGGGTGAAAATATTTTCTCCAGAGCTTAAAAGAGAGACTTCTATCAATTGTCATTTCCATGCACAAAATGTCTAGTGTTCTGTGATGATTCCTGAAATTGGCTTGTTTGTAGAAAACCATCAGCAATCTTCAGGATGGGATTATATAATGATGTTGACTCATAATGCCACTTACATGCTGATTTCTGTCAGATGCTAATTTAGTGCATGCATATTTGAATGAAAAATAATATTTTATAACTTTCTGTAACCTGCAACATTCAAAGTTTTTAAAACGTACTTGTATTCATTGCAGCCTTTAGTTGTCTGTTAGGGACATTCTGAATCCATCTGGGGAAAAATAATTTTCTAAATGCTATCATCAGTCCTAAATAAATAAAGCCAGAGAATTATCAGTAATTTTACTGTTTGCTTTTCCTGCTCTGAAAAATTGCAAAGGGGCACGGCAATACTTTTTCTTCTGTTTGGCAATTCATTTTGTTTGTCCTTAAACATCTCTTGTATTTTTGTAAACTTTATGTGACCTTAGAGATGCTTCTCCGCTCTGACCCAGATGGTGCTGTTCATAAGGGGGAGGGGGAGCAGCCATTTAGCCCACGGCAGGGGGTCAAAGGCAATGAGAGCTCATCAGTTTCTATGGACTTGCCTTTTTGCGCCTGTGTTCCTCTTTTGGCACAGTCAGGATTCCCTTGTGCTAATTGCTGTAGTACAGTGAAATAGAATGTGTATCTGGCAAGAGATGGCTTGCAAAATTTTTCCCATCTTGCTCTGGGATGCATTAAACAGAGGGTACAGCTTCTAAAGAAAATACCAAGCAATGTAAGTGTAAATGCACAGCAAGGACAATCTCTTGCCTTTTGCGAGGGGAGAATGTTTGTTGTGGGGACATTATTCCTGGCAGCATTCCCACACCCCTTGCAAAGTCACAAGTGAATAGACTTTATATGGCCTAATCTTGCAGAAGAAACCCTAAGTTTCTGCAACCGTAGGCAGCTTCTACATAAAGGCGCACAATATTTTTACCCCCTT